ATTGTACCTCATGATGATCAGATGCAGCATAATACTGGGGAGGAGAGTGTTTTGCAAGTACAAGCCTGCATGCTTTAGCTTAAAAGGAAGCATAGACCTTCAGTTCAGAAGTTCATTCATGTCTTGAACTTTTTCTGGAAGATGTTCTGAGGAAGGTTTGGAAAATTCGCCTTCCTTCCATCACAGAGAATATTACTGCTTATTTGTATTTTCGTTGTAGTAGACAGGTAACTTAACTTCATTTACAAGTTAGTTTTAGCAGGTATCATAAAAAGCCTGGTCGAAGACTTCTGTGAATCTGTAAAGAAATTGCTAGTTTGGAGATTGACTGAGCTGGCAGCTGTATTTTACTAGTCTCTCAGGTTTGGTCGGACCTGTATATGAATTCTGTTGGTAGTAGCCAGGGGACCATCAAAACAGTTTTAATCACATTCTTGCTTTAAACAATGAGATTAACGCAAATTGGCATGGCTTAAACTGCTTCTTTGTACTTATTCTGCTGTTAGGTAGTAGTACTGATCGTGTGTCCTGCTAAAAATAGAGAAATGTCTTCAGAGTACTGTCGTCATTTGTTTAGCTGGACCTTGCTTTGACTTGGCTCTGCATACTCCTGGATTGTATGCTGCTTGGGGTTTGTTTTGTTTTGGGTTTTTTTTGGAGGGGGGGTTGGTTGTTTTTTGATATTTTTTGTGTTCTTTTTTTGATTTGGGTGAGAACCATTTAGAAGAACGTAGCAGTTGTCAGGCTGGACTTTATCTTCTGTTGTTAAGCAAAGAGTACTTTGATTCCCACAGACCATTGTTTTTCCAGCTTTTGAATTCCTCTTGCTCCTTCAGCTGTGTTTACCACAGGATGGCTGACCTAAATCTGTTCATTTTGTCCTTTTTTTTCGAATGGGCACTAAGGATCAGGAGGGTGGACTGCTTCTGCTGAAGCAATCTTGTGCACTTAAGTATAGTTTCCCAGATTCCGTGGTGTGATTTATTGTAGCTACTCCTTGACATAGCGGAAGGAATCAGTCGTGTGTCCGTGCTGTGTTTTGAAATGTTCTGCTCTCCCGTGGCTGTGCCTCACACGGAGTGACGGATCTTCTGAGTGTTGGTAGTAAAGTGAAGGAGCAGATAGGTCAGACTTCTCCTTAAAATAGACAAGCCTAATGTGTTTTTTTTTCTCCCTTCTACTATGTAATTCAGAAGCATGTAAACTTATCTGGTTTTGCACCAGGTTTTTCCAGTCAGATTTTATGAGGATTTCTCCATTTTTTTTCTACTGCTATCTGTGCACTAGGACTTGAAATCTGATGAGAAAACATCTCTCCTGGGCTTGTACAACGGAAAAGTTGTTTTGTTGGTTGTTGTGGGTAAATGTGGTACTGCTGCTGTTACGAAATAGGATCTTTAGACTGGGTTAACTGTAAGAAGAATGTGAATGTGACTATAGCTTTAAATTCACTGGCTGTTTCAAGGATAATTTCACATCGATTGTTATTTTTGTATCCATCTTTTTTAATGATATCATAACTGCTTACCTAAAAAGCCCCTTTTTTCTGTTGTTCCAGTTCTTGCATTCAAACGACGATTTCCCTTTGAATTTGCATAGCAAGGTCTCAAAACTAGTGAATTATATGTACACAGTTTTGGGTTTGTTTTTTGTTACCAAGTCATCCTTAAGGAATAGGGATAACCTTTTCTTATCTAAAATTTCTCTCTTATGTTTTTGTGTCTTTACTTAAGCAGCTCTGTTAAAATAATTTTCCTGAAAATCATTAGAGAGCCTTTAGTCTGAAATCTCATATAAAGATTTTTTTTTTTTTGGTTGCTGCTTTCTTTGAAAGGCTTTTCAAATTCATATTAGATCACTCCATTTTCAGAATCAATTGCTGTGATTCAAGTAGACTTGATTTTTTAGGACATTGTGCTTTGTGCTTCTTGAAAATCTGAAAGCAGCTAGAGTGCGTTTGAGAATCGTGCTGTAAAATTGATCAAAATAAAAATTAGGTTCATATACAATATATACCAAAAAATGCGTACTATTCCTCTGTCTTTTGTTTACTATTTAGTATTATTTTAGTGTACACTGGAAATTTCTTTTCTGAATTAGAGAATATAATTTATAAGAGATAAATAGCTCTTAATAATTGAGACTAAAGTGTATTTGGATTTCCTGAAACAGCCAGTAGTCCTTCCTGTTGCCTATAATGTCACCACAAATTGAAAGCGGTAAATTCAGTTTAAAATTATTTCTTTTGACTTGGAATCTTGATCATGTAACTGGTGGCTAATGATACTACAGGACTGAATTTAAAGCTCTGTTTGTGTCCCAGCTGTTGGTTAAACTTAAGGTAGGAATTTCAGATTTCTCTTTACTTTTGGCTTGCTTTAAAGATTGGATACCTGCACTTCACAGTGGAGTTACTCACTATATTCTAACTGTGCTTTTATAAACTTTTTTTGTTATTAAGATACAAGGACTTATTTCTGCTCCACTCATCTCTTCTTTTTGCCTGTCCACCTAGCTCTGAAAACACGTGGGCTATAAAAGGAGGTTGTGCAGCTAAACCTTTGCGAGCATGGTAAACAAAATACCTTCAAGTTCTTAATTTGAACTTTGAAGATACCTGGAATTAAGAGAATGCTTTGAATTCACCTTCAGAAATCATGTTTCTGGATCGTGCTGTGAAGAGCCAGTGCTCTGACTTAGGGATGTGAACAGTGTAAAAATCGCCGAGGCTTTTCTCATTGCCTGGTCTCCAGGATGGCCCGTTTATGGCTGCACAGAAAGTTCTTAATATCAAAGTTTCTTCTGCGCAAAAGAGAGCTGAAGAAGAGATGCTCAGCTGTGTGCGAGCTGCAGGGTAGCAAACGGGCAGAGCTGGCAGTCTGTTTGTAGGACATGGCATTGCCAGGTTCAGGCCGTAGCTCTGTGTTTTCACTTATTGGGAAACCTGACTCAGATATTGCTCTTTGTACTGACGAGATGTCTGCCTCTGGTTTTATTCCAAAATGCAGTCTGGTTGGCAACAACCTCGTTCTTCAACCTTGGAAAAATTGCTACGAATCCAAAGGAAGTCCTGATTTTTGGTGTGTTGGTATTTCTGATGAGTAGCGGGGAAGTAAACTTAACACTGCTTCTGGTGCCACGTCAGTGGAATTCTGGTGTCAGGCCTGTTCTGTCAGGTAGACTGTGATGTCTTGCTAAGCTGCCGCTTGCTCCCAGAGATGCTTTTGTTTTTCTATGATTAAACAGCATTTTAGTGAGATGTCCATATGTATGAATTGCTTGAAGAGAAGGCCTTTAGAAACCTGCTCATCCTGAGCAGGGTGCTGTGGGCAGTGGTGCCCAGGGCGTGATGCAGGCATCCTCCTCTGAAGAGAGTGCGTGGAATGGTTGTGACTTCATGGAATCAGAGAATGCCAGGTTGAGAGGGACCTTAAGGATCATCGGGCCCTACCTTTCCCGGCAAAACCATGGTCTAGGTGAGATGGCCCAGCACACCCTGTCCAGCTGGATCTTGGAAGTGCCCAAAACATACTCGAGCCTTCTGGATTACTTACTCCATTGGAGCATCTTCAGTGAGCCTTTATCTTTGCTTACATATCTTCTGAGAAGTTACTGATGAACAAGAGTTGACATAACAGGCATGAGATACCAAGAACTGCTTAAAAGCAGGCAGAAAAGATGAAATAAGCTCAGGCTTGCTTCTGTCTTTCTGTAATGACATTAAGAAGATTGCCTCAGAACGTTGATTTGACGGTTTTGCATACATATTTGTTTGTTTCCAAGGCATAACTAGAAGCATAGATAAAGTAATACAGTGGAAGCATTTGCAAATAAGCATGTGTGGTATAGTGAAGGCCTTGTTAAAGTCTGATCTTTTGTGTTACCTTGATAAAACATAATCTTAAAGTTCATAGCGTTTCTAGAAGGACTTTATTTTACATTTTGTATATTCGCGAGACAAGGATGGATTTCCACATGGGTGATATTTATGCCTAGGTAACTGGGATTGATGTGGCAACATTCCTCATTCATATAAAGGAAACAGAACAGAGGACAATGTTTATCTTCTTTACTGTGATATTTTTGGTAGCCATTTGGCAAACGAGACTGCACTGATTGTGCAAATTCTGAGACCCAAAAAGATATTTTTTTTTTTTTGGTCTGGAAAAGAACACAGGCACCACTAAAAGAATTAGAAACTTAAGGTGCTGTAATTTTTTGGTTTGCACCTTTTTAGTAAAGAGAGCATCTATTGAATGAAAAGCTGTGTACAGTCCTTTCACTTTCAATGTGTTTTCCTTAGCAACAAGTTCTTCACAGTTTAAATAGCGTTATTGCAGTCAGACGATTTTAAGCTTGGATGGTTGACGATTTCTTCTGAATAGTTTAGAGACAAAAGTGAAATGGAGTTTATACTTGAATTTGGAAAGGTTTCTTTTTCTTATTGTCATTCAAAGGTTTGGTATTCCATGGCTAAAAAATACCGTTGAAGAGACTTAACAATCCTTTTAAAGATACTTGACCAGTCCTCAGTTCACTTGTCATACACATGCACAAAAGCGTTTCTGAGGACAAGAGGAAAAAAGCTTTGGTGGTTTGGTCAAGATATAACTTTGGCAGATTTTCTAAAAGAAATTATAAAATCTTATATATTGAAAAATGCCAAAAAATAATTTAAGTCAATGATGGATGGTAAATTCAATGAGCACCTATTGTTACTTGTCTTATTTTCCTGCTCCCAGTGTGTTTTAGATTATGTAGCCCAGCTTTCTTAGCTTCACGTGTTTTTTTTAATGCTCATAATGTGGGGAATATACAGTGGACAGTATTGGAAAGTCTCCTGCTTAATGGTAAGACACTCCTTTTTGTTCCCTTTTCCTTTAAGATGCCAGTAGGGGCTTTCTGAATATCTGTCTCTCTGTGCCATGTCTTCACCCGCCCCTGCACCCTTCCAAGGACGGTGCTGCCCCCGGGACTGTCTTGTAAAGTTACTTTCCCCCCACCTTAGACGGCCCTCGTTCTGCAGGCTGGCGAGAACACATGGAGCGACGGCGGAGGTTCGAATTTGATTTCCGGGAACGAGATGATGAACGGGGTTATCGGCGAGTACGGTGCGGGAGTGGCAGCATGGATGACGACAGGGACAGTCTCCCTGAGTGGTGCTTAGAAGACGCAGAAGAAGAAATGGGAACATTTGACTCCTCTGGAGCCTTTCTCTCTTTAAAGGTGAAAAGCTGTCTGGGGCCCCTTGTTCACTTCGTGCAAATGTACTGTTGTGTCAGGTGGATTATGGGTGATTGTGTTGACTTTGTAGAAGGTGCAGAAGGAGCCAATCCCTGAGGAACAGGAGATGGACTTCCGACCTGTGGAGGAAGGGGAAGAAAGATCTGACTCAGAAGGGAGCCACAATGAAGAAGCCAAAGATCATGAAAAGACCACCAAGAAAGAGGGGGAGAAAACAGATAGAGTAGTGGCAGGTAAGTAGGGCTTTTCATGCATCTATTCCGAGCAGAATTTCTGTTAATTTGGTTACGTAGAACTGTGCAATGTTACAGAAGCAGTGGAAGAAACAGTCCAAACATCTTCACCAGCTGCCAGGTCAGATACCCCACCAAAATCCCAGCCTCCAGACCCACTGCAGACAAGCCTTTTCGAAAGGAAGGAGGAGTCTGTGCCAGAAAGAACAGAAAAAACAGAAGATAAAGAGAATCGAACAGAGAATACACCGCCGGCCAAAATGTCCAACAGAGGAGAAGGTAATAAACTTGATAGATGAATTTAGTAAGTTTCCATTACTTGTTGTGATTAGTCTTGGCCTCTTCCAAGAGGAAAGGACTGGATTGTGGTGATGAAAAGCTGGAATTCACCAACTGGTCTGTAAATACTGGTTTTGATGGATATGCCATCTCAAATGCTTTCAGTGCACTGGAACTTGAAGTTGCAAAGTAGTCTAGAGAAACCATGACCTAGTTGTGGATGTGCCTTATTGTGGTAGAGCAGATCATTCTGGACAAATGTATGTGGCCAGGGAGCAGGAGATGCTGGAATGTTCTGAACTCTGCACTGTCAGAACTAAACTGTTCCTTGAAGTTAGGTTGGGTGCCTGTGCTGTAAACACATACCAGTGTGCAGTCAGACATACAGGAAGATATGAAAATACTTTTGCTTTTGTGCTAATTTTGAACATTTTTTTGTCAAATGCTTTCTCCTCTAGCTCCTTAAAAGTAATTTTCATTTATGTTAAAGATAATGAACTAATTTTAACATTTTTTTCTTTAGATTTGGCTTCTGTTTCTCAGCCTTTGCCACAAATTTCTGCAGACACAGCTTCTCCTGCTCACCTTTCTCCCCCTGTTTCCAATTCAAATCCTGCTCTGCGGCCAGTTCAGACACCTGTCACAGCTGCTCCAGGCATGGGCAACATTCCTACTGACCCAGATGATGAAGAGGGCCTCAAACACCTAGAGCAGGTAAAATTTCTCAGATTCCTTTGTTGTTGACAGTTGTGAGACTGGAGGAATGTGGAATGCAAAAAATACTTGAAGCTCATAAAAAGAGAAATGCAGCTGAAACTTGACACTCCACAATGTATATTGAAACCTGCTTTTCTTCCCTCCCATTATTTTACTGGAGAATAATTCCGGCCTATGTAGTATTTTCCTGAATTAAGAGTACTATACCCAGTGTTAAAGTGCTTGTGAACACTGTCAAGTAGGTGTACTTTTGCCTTGAGGAACCATAACACAGCATGCCCAGTATGTATAAAAAAATAAAAAATATGTAAATGAAATGCAGAATGCGTTCATGGAAGTTCAGTGACCGTGGGAATATAGAGCATTTTTCAGGCTAGTGCTCGTGTACCTGCTCAGTTTTCACCATGATACTGAGGGAAATTCGTGGCAAGCTGGACTGAAAGAGATGAACTGTGCTTGTTCAGGCTTCTGACAAGGTGCTAAACTGAGCTCATGGCTTGTGGTGCAATTACACCAATTCTTGAGCTGCCTGTAGTTCCTGGTACGCTGATGAGCACTGCGTGGTACAAAGTTGTTGTATTTAGTGTGCTTGTTCTCAAATCCATAAGCACACTTCTAACTCTTGTACTCCGTGCTGTCTCCTGCAGCAAGCTGAGAAGATGGTGGCATACCTGCAGGACAGTGCCCTTGATGATGAAAGACTGGCAGCAAAAATTCAAGAGCACAGAGCAAAGGGCTCCTCTATGCCATTGTTCCATGAAGCCATGCAGAAGTGGTACTACAAAGATCCGCAAGGAGAAATTCAGGGTAGGTCTGTGCCCTTTACACTTCCTCTTTTGTTTCACAGAACTGTTAAGAGTTCTTCACAAAATGACCACCAACAGATATTGATGCTTGTTTTTACAAAAGCGGTGCAGGGAATTTACGACTCGAGAATGAGGTTTTGAAAATAGATCTTCTGCCCATCACCACCCCCATCAGCTCAGCATGCCTGATCTCAGAATTATACTTTATTGTAACTAAAGTTTCCCATCACTTCATGTTTCTGTAAATTGAGGTTAGACTAAAACGTGGTTTTCATGCCAATAGTTACTCAGATTTCCAGATAAGAGTGGAAATAAAACAAGAATGTGACCATTCAGTAACTCGTTGAAGAATCTACGAGAAACATTGAAATCTGTTTTCTAGTCTCAGCCTGAAGACATTGAGTATTCAAGGAAGGCTGATTGGTTTAGAGTCTAGAGCAAAGAGAAAACAAGTTTTCACAAGGCAGTGCTCACTCATCATCTCAATTTAAATTGTACTTGCAGCCAGTGTGTTTTTCATTCATATAATACTAACTGTTGCTTGCTTGTAGTTTTTGCTTGAGAAATCTCAATATTTCTTTTTTTTGTCTTGCAACAATAGTTGGAACAGGCCTTTCATATAGATACTTGCATCTTTGCTCTCAGAAGGTACTTTTCTTTTGGAGGTCTTTGGGCTCTATTTTAGCAGCTGCTTAGCTGCCTCCCCAAAATGCAATTAAGCAGCAAGTTCCTTACTTGCTGTACGTCACTAAGTAGTAGTTGCTAATGCTGTTTAGTGTGAATGACTTCCTCAGCTCTGAGCTCTAGGTAGGATTTGTGGGGTTATTTGTGGGATCTGTGCCAATCTCTTGTCTGCAGGTATTACAGGTCTTTAGGGTTTTGTTCTTACCCCTTTAAGTTTAAAGGATGTTAACTGAGAAGTCTTTTTATTTGCTTGGTCTGCTTTGCACTGTACGCTAGTTGCTGCTGGGTGTTTGTTACTGAGTGATGAGCTAACTTGTTTTTAATTGGAATAAGTACTTCCTTGGATGTGACCTCCAGAAGTAAACACTCCCACATAATTTTTTTTTTTTATACCTTTTGTATTGTATTCTCTGGGAGGAATGACCTTTTAAAGATACTTC